AGAGAGAGAGAGAGAGAGAGACAGATAATCCGAAGCGGGCTCCGAGCCGTCAGCACAGAGCCTCAGGAACTGAAGATCGTGGCCTGAGCTAAAGTCTGATGCTTAACCGACTGAGCCACCCAGGCGCCCCCTGCAGGGCTGCTTAGCGGATGCTTGCTTAGGACAAATTGTCCAAGACCTTACTTCCTAGCCAAACTAAAATAAACCCAGAATTGAAAGAAATCCCAGTATCTGCAACCTGCCCGGTTCAGGGAAGGGCCACGTTTCATTTTAGTCGTTGGCATCTAAAGCGTTTAGCCGCACACAAAGCAAGGCCCGGTGCCTAATGGCACCGCGCGGTGAAGCTGTCCGGCGGGTGGTCGGACCCAAGGGGGCCAGCAGAGGGCAGCCGCGAGGCCCCGTCCGCCCTCAGTCTCTCCGAAGGGGCGGTGGCTGCCTCCGCCCTCAGCCCGGCTGGGCTTGGAGTCCTTTCCCTCCCGCTCACCCAGCGGGTGATCTCTGTCGCCTGCCTAGCAGGTGCTGCGGCCCCTCGGAGCCCCTGTCCCTGGAGCAGGCAGACAACTCGCCTCGGCTGGGGGGGTGTTTGCATTTAGCTCTGACTCGGAGAGGAGAATGACGTTTTGCAGCGCAGGGCCTTGCGGGCAGCGCTGCTTGGGGATGCCATGTGCCGCCTTCCTTGGTGTCTGCAGGGTCTGTCCCCAGAGACCCGTGACAGTCCTCTTCTCCTCGCCACCACTACTTTCCAGGGCCAGCAGCAGGTTCCTGCTTCCAGGGCTGGCAGCGAGCCCTGGGGCCGCCTGCTCCAGCCAGAGTCTGGGGTCCCGTCTGGGGTCCCCTCTGAAGGCTCTGCCTTCTCTGTGGTCTTTTTTCCCCCTCTAAAGTTTATTTATTTATTTTGAGAGAGGGAGAGAGTCCCAAGCAGGCTCTGCACTGTCATCGCAAAGCCCCATGCAGGGCTCGAACTCACCAACCGTGAGATCATGATCTGAATGGAAACCAAGAGTTGGACACTGAACTGACCGAGCCACCTGGGTGCTGCTGCTTTCTCTATGTTCTTTTGGGGGATTTTCTTTGTCTTCAATTTTCTGAGTAATTGTTCATTTTTTAAAATGGCGGCTCATTCTTTTCTAAACTGAGGGGAAAGGATATTTTTGGCTCTGTCAATAGAAGTGGGGGTGGGGAGGAATTCTGGGGGAGGAGCATAGTGGGGGGGGGGAGCAGAGATCGGGACAGGCGTGTATGTAGACCGAGTCTGTGTGTGTGTAGGGTGGGACTTTTCACCTATCTGGGTCAAAGGAACTGTTTTTCTTTATTTTCCCATCCATCGCGGACCCATACTTTTGTAGAATACAATAAAAGCAATGTACTAAAAACTAAAAGAAAAAGAAACATACAAAATCTAAGCGCTTTTTTTTAGGACTATATTAAACAAACAAAATTGCTCTGTCAGGTTGCTATAAAAGGGTCTGAGTTCTTGCTTTTCATTGTTCCCCATAGCCCATCCTGGGCCGGTAAAGACCATCCCCAGCTGGGCCCCGTGTCGCTGGTGTAGGGCAGAGGGCAGGAGGCGTGAGTTCTCAGGGAGGAGGTGGTCCGTGGGGATGACCGGCAGGGCCGGCTCCTTCCGGGTCCCCAGCATCAGTGTCTCCTTCATGAGCTGTCCTGTCTTTGACCAGACTCTTTACGAGGGGCCCGGCCCGTTTATAGAGGGCGCGGCAAGGCTTGGCTTCTACAGTTGCTTCCTGATTGACCAGATAGGACCCTGTGCTTCCAATGACCTGGCATGTGCTTCTCGGCCTGGCAGACAAGAAGCGAGGGGGAGGGGCCCCGGTGTATCCTGGATGTGGATTGGACCAGCCAAGAGAGCGATGGGGAAGAGGAGGCAGAGGCTGCAGAAGAGGAAGGTCAGGTGGGGGGAGGGAAGGAAGAGAAGGCATAGGGAAGTGAGAAACGCCAGCACATGCGTTGGCCTAGTAGCTCTCTGGGCCCCCTTGTGTCATCCAGTGACGCTCCAGAAGGTGAGTGGACAGAGGTATTCCCATGAAGTTTGGAGGCAGACCAAGCTTTTTAGACTTTACTGGGCAATACGAACCGCCTAGAAATCTTATTTTCAATGCGGACTGAGATTCAGCAGATGTGGGGTTGCCTCTGAGTGGCTACGTTTCTATTAAGCTCAAGGATGAACCCTGACCGTGTCCAGCTCCGGGTGTACGGGCCGGAGTCCTCTGAAAACGTGGACCTCTTCCCAGGAGAGGCGGGCGGGGTCTGCGGGACCCCACTCTGTGACCCGGGAGCAGGGACCCGGAGGGAACCGGGGCTCGGAGGAGAAGCAGGGATAATTGATCTTCCTAGTTACTAGTGCGACACTCTCAGCGTCACGGAGTGTGGGCTCCACAACCCCAGACCAAACTGAACCAGCAGGCACTACAAGCGATTGGTATTGGTGAATAATATTGATGCTTTTCTATGGACAAATACGTTCTACCAGCACGCATCTTTGCAAACACAAGGGGTAACAGTTTTCTGCGGTGCTCCCCAAGGGGGGATTCGGGGCAGGCCTCATTCCATAAACGTGGGTAACCTGGGAGCCTGGAAGGGGTGTGGACAGAAACGGGTTGCATGCGAAGGCAGCGTTCTCCGGGCCTGGGGAGGGGCTCTGGCTCAGGGGTTAAGAGTTGTGCGATATTGTGGGCTCCAGGCCCTTTCCCCCCGACCCTTGATGCCCCCAAGCCTCTGAGAGGCCCTCAGCCCTCCGGTCACTCAGGGGCCTCAGCAGAAGCTTGGAAGTTGGAAATGCTTTATGGGAGCTGCCCAGGGCCAGCCCTCAGGGTGTGCAGATTAATTCTCTCCGGCAGGGTGAGGCCAAGCACATCCATGGGGACCGAGGGCTGTGGGAGAAAGCACTTACAGATGTGTAGACAGAAGGGATTGCAATGCTTCCATTCGTGTGAAAGAAAACATCTGTGGCTCCCGTGTCCAGTCCCCTCGTCACGCGTGAGTGCGGATGTCCCTGCCCACACGCTGCCTGTTCTGCTCAGAGGGGGCCTCCGAGATCATTTAGGTGCTCCTCGAGTCTCCCGGGGACCCTGGCCAGGACACGGGGCTCCCTCACTGCCGGACTCAGGGACTGGGGACCTACAGAAGGGGCTGGGGTCCCCGCTGGCCTCCTGGGGAGCACCAGAGGGTGGTGTTGGGGGGAATGCCGTCAGTAGTGGAGAACCTCCTCGAAGTGACCAGGGAGGGCTTTGTGGGTCCTGCTTCTCGGATTCCGTTTCGCGGCTGGAAGCTCACCAAGCTGTGATTGTGTCACCTCCGTGTAGATGACAGAACTGTCCTGTGGGAGAGGCGGGTCGGGATCAGGAGGCAGATGTAACACAGAGGGTGGGGGGAGGGCGGGGGGCCCAGCTCACCTGAGTCCCCGAGGCTGAGGCAGCAGGCCCGGCTGTGGGGGGGAGAGAGAAACACTCCGGTTAGGGCGTCTGGCTCATCCGTGCACCTGCAGCCCGCCCCCTCCACGCTGTCTTCTCTTACAGAGCACGGACCAGCCCAGGGCTGCTCCCCCTTTCGCCTCTGGGGACCCCTCGTTCTTCATCCAGACACAGGAGGTCTGGGTCTTTCCACCTCAACCACAGCCCAGCCATGTGACTGCAGGCCAGCCACTCAGCCCTGGGACCTCAGCTTCCGTAGCCAGGGAGAAGGGAGGGGGTGGTCACAGGGATTATAAGGAGAAGAAAGAGAGATGAGCCTATCAAAGGTGCCTTTAAAACAGCTACTTCGTTAGACAGCTACCATGCACCAGGCAATCCTTCTGGTGTGAGCATTATATTTATTATATTAATCTCACACCAGTCCTGCAAAGTAGCGATGATTGATTCCTTCTCCAATTGAGGTGAGAAAACGGAGGCTCAGAGTGGCTGATACTCCCTGCGGTCATGTCTGTAAGAAGGGTAACTGTAGACAAATATCAAATCTTTGCATACGCGAAGCATTCTTCCAATGATAGAAGATCCAGCGCCCCCTTCCTGTGAATCTCGGAATACAATGGCCTTTCCTGACTCTGGGTTTCGGAACCCCTCGCCCTCCCATCAGGGAGAGCCTATCGCGAGCTGGGAGGAGGCCACCTGGCCCTGAATCACGCCTTCGCCTTGTTGCCCTGCTGCGATGAAAACGGCCACATTTCCTTATTGCAGCCAGCGAAAACCATATTTGGAGGTTGGCTTCTTTTTTTGTCTCTCTCGTGTTCAAGTCCCCGTTGTGACTCTCCTCTGAAATGACCCGTGTCTGTGTGCGTGTGCCTTCCCGTCTACCCGGCCATGCTAGGGTCCTGGGGAAACTGCCCCTGAGTCCAAGAGACTCCTTGTCTGTCCGCTTCCCCTGGTGCCCTTCATGGGAAGGAGCAGGAACCCCAGGCTGATTCAAACCCATCGTACAGCCCAGGAGTAGAAATAGCAGCAAAACAAGAGCTAGAAGCTTCCTGGTTTTGAACACCTGTGGCACAGCAGATAACCTGTGAAGTGTCGAGACCTCAGTTCCATTCCTAGTAATTTAAAATAGCCTTGCAAAATTAAGCGTTATCTCCATTTTTTTATACATTAGAGAGCTTAAGAGAGAGAGCTTAAGTAACTTGCCAGGTAGCAGCACAGTGAATACACAGAGTCCAGTTTCGAACTCAGATCCGACTGACTCAGAAACCCATACTCTCCCCATGACGCCATGTTGCTTCCCCCCCCCCCCCCCCCCCGTTGGAGGGATGACTAGCCTTTCCCTGTCCCTGCCATCTGATTCTGGTGTCGGTGGCCGGAGCTCAGGGTCTCGGCTCCTCTAAGAGCTGGGACTGTCCTGCTGAGACTTTTACTCTGGGGCAAAGGCACACTGTGTTATTCTCTCTCTCTGTTTTCTTTGTTCCTCCACGGTGCTGAGAAAAAGGCAGAAACACTCCCTAGTTAGGGTGGCAACGGTGGTGGGGATGATGTGGAAGACAGTCATTATGGTGGACGTAGCGTTTTTGGGGGGGATGGTGGTGATGGTGGGGGTGGTGATGGGGGAGGAGGTGATGATGATAATCGTGGTCATGGCACAGCGGTAATGTCGGTAGTGATACTTCACTCCAGGCCCCAAACTTCCCCTTTACATTGGCAAAAATGTCCAGTTTCATCCAAGAGTACTCACCTTTACTCTTCCGGGAGGTTGCATACACTACAGAGTAATCATCATCTTCATTCTCATTCTGCCAACGAACTGAAAGAAGGAATGGGGCTCGAATAGGACCCACCTGCTCTCCCACCTCAAGACCCCCGTGTCCTGAAGACACCTATGGAGGGAAGCCAGTCGGGGGCTCTGTCATGGCGGTAGCTGGGAGTGGGTGGCAGCCATTAATGTGGGATACCCATCTTGACAGAAGGCGCCCGCCCCCACAGCAGGTTCCAGTAGCTTCACCAGCCCCAACTAGAGGTTTAAACTCTTTTTCTGTAAACAAGAGTCAACCCTTGAGGCTTTGCAGGCCATACGGCCTCTGTTGCCTCCACTCAGCTCTGTAGTGTGAAAGGAGCCATACACAAAACATATACAATGTTCTCCACAAATGCAAAATTGTGTGGTGAACTAGATTTGGCCCACGGGCCAGAGTTTGCCAACCGCTGGTCTAACCTCTCCACGCCCTCTCTTCGGCGGCCGGGCTTCCCTCCTACCTCCCTGTGCCTCCACCGGCTTCGTGGCACCGTCCCCTCTAGCTCTCCCCAGAAACCATCCGCTTCCTTCCCCGATGACCGATTCCTGAGACTTGGGGGCTCCCAGGGGGCTCATTCTTGCTCCCCTTCAGAGGCCCTCCTCTGCCCTCCGGGACAGACCATGCGTGGTCCTGCTGGAGGGGCTTACCTTCGCTATACAGTAGGTCCTGCTCTCCACCGGGGGCTGGGAGTGGATTCTGAGATGGAAGGGACTCTGGGAGATACAAAGGCGCAATTTGTTGAGTTCCCTGAGAAAGCGTGCTGGAAAGTAGGGGGTAGAGAGTCTGAGAGAAAGAAAGTCGGTGGAGGCTGCTGGAGGTCTGAGTCTGGTTTGTTTACGAGGGCTAATTCACAGGTCTGGACACGGTTAATTTTTATGGGATGTTTCCTTTGAAAAATACCCTAGAGGGTAGCATGGCCCCATGGGAATCACAAGCCGGGAGGAAGTAGGGTCCCCAAGGATGGGCCGCGTCCCCTGCATGGAGAGGGCCCAGATTCACCAGTCAGGCTGCTTTACAGAAGAAGGAGAAGCTGATAACTGTGACCACCCACTATGTGCGAGACACTGGGCCAGGGAGTTCAAACACGATGTCTACTTCACGGCACAGTGGCTAACCCCGTGCCCAGCACATAGCTGGACAGCAAAAGAGCCTCCCTTCCTAACCCTTTGGGGTCTGAGAGTCTTTTTACAACCGTCGTGCAAAGTTCGACGCTATGATATCATAGTATCATATGTAGTATTATGGAGGAGGTGACTGAGGCTGGGAGAGGCGACTTCTCCAAGGTCATACAAGGTGAGGGGTAGGGACAGAATCTCAATCCAGGTTTATATGCTTTTTCTCCACTGGCGTGCTGCCTCTGTGAAAGCGGGTGCTTCCAGAACCTTAAAGATTAGCTCCTGGGATAGGAATTGGGCCACATGTGGATTTTAGAGCACCTGCTCACATCTGGTGCCCAGGAAATGTCCATTAGCTCTGACAGCAAGAATTTTCATGTTTTGAAAATTGCCTTGCGAGATGCAGCCCGTTGGGCATCTTTGGTGGCGGCATGGTTTTTGCTTGTCGAAGAAGTGGCTAGGTTATCTGGAGATGGTTAAGAATCTTCCAGAACGGGGTGTGGGGGATGAAGCTGTTGATCTACAGCTTTTCTCGGGGAGCTTTGGAAGCGGGCCCGGAGGTGGTCTTCCGTGTGATACTCTAAACGTTTTGTGTCGCTGAGCTTCTGAGATAGGAGGACCGCCACCAGAAGCCCTATTTTCTCCGGCGACAGGTTCCTTAATACAATAGAACCCAGCTGCTCCCGGGTTGGCAGGGGGGTTGGGGGTGGGGGGAGCGTGGACCGTGCAGGGGCAGAACCTCCACGTGAAGAGGGAGGCTTCTTCCTCTTGAGGACCCCTCCCCAGC